CCAAGCCTCAAACCACAACAATTGGCCTTTGTAAAACAAGACTTTCATACAAGCTTATGTACTCTACTGCATAGCCTCTATGATTGTAAAGAAAAGTTTTACACTGTTGTGTACTTTAAAGCTAATTTTCACATTCTATAATAATAATAATCAAGAAGTCATGGGGGTCATTGGAAGATCAGATTCATAATGCATGATGTGGTGTCTGTCTTTCAGTTTCGTGCTTTAGCCCCAATGTATTACAGAGGGTCAGCAGCAGCCATTATAGTGTATGATATCACAAAAGAGGTAAGGAATTTGATCTTATCCCAGCATTTCAATCACTACAGTTTCTGTTGTTTGTTTGTCATGAGCCAGTTCTGACTCTTAATTTTTTTTATTTTTTTTTCCTCTTTCCACCTCAGGAAACTTTCTCAACATTAAAGAACTGGGTTAAAGAGCTTCGACAGCATGGACCTCCAAACATTGTTGTAGCTATTGCTGGAAATAAGTGTGATCTTAATGATGTAAGGTAAGTAACGATTGACAGTTTGGAGGTTAGCACTGTAAGTATAAATAAAAAATATTTTATGATTTCAGAGCAGGTGAAAGGTATAGAACAGTATAAGCTGTTCTGCACTGGCATTGTAGTTTCGCAAGGAGTCTGAGCTGTAACTACTGTCAGAAGACTTAGTCTGCCCTTGGGCAGTTTTGACCACTTCCACCCCTGTGCTGGTGTGAGCATGCATGTGATTGGGCAGTAAATTAGAGTGTAAAATGGATCCAGATTAAAACTAGCCATTTAAAATACAGAAAACTGATCCAAGTGTATTTTTTTCTCACACTATGAACACTTGTTGGCATAACAGTGTTGGAATAGCAGGGTTAAGAATGAGCAGTTTACAGGGAGACAGGATTACCTACTCTGGTGACAGTGCCAAGTTACACAAGCTGAATCTGCCCGTGAAGCTATAGTATAATACAAGCTATTTACCTCACTTTATAAGAAGTACCCCTGTCAGTCTGTAGCACCTCATTAGGAAAAACATCAAGCCTGTTGGAAAGCATTGTGTAAGTTTTTCTTACTTGCTTGTTCAGGTGCCTTCCTTCCCTCCTTAAATATTGGGGAGGAATTAGCTGTGGCTGAAATAGTTGCAGGGAGCAAACGTGCAGGGAGGCTTTATGAACAGCCAAGCTTTCAAGAATGCATGTACTAAAAACAAAAGAAGCCCTTTATATTGACATCCTGGCTAAATAAGCCAAAATTTAGACAGAAGGTCCATGCAAGCTTCTTGGTTTTGTGTTTCATTGGAAAAGGTATCAGAGCTGGTGTCTCAAAGGAGACAGATGATTATGTGCTTAAAGAAGCACTACAAAATTGGTTCTTGGTATTACAAATTAATATATAGCAGTTATCTAGTGATCTCTAATAACTGTTGTTGGAAATAGCATGAAGGAAATATGGCATGAAATTACATAGACAAATATAAGGTATGCAGTATTAAGTCCAACATGCTTATTTCTTGGCACTTAGGTGGCATCATAAATTATGTAAACATTGCTATTCAAGCTAATGGCAAGATTCCTTGCACTTCAGGCAGAGGCAATGTTGAATCACTGATCCAAAGTCTGTGCTTTGGATACCCTAATACCCTTGTTACTGAAAGTAGCCTAGGTTTTCTGGAAAGTGTATGTGAAGTGATACACGTATGGTCTAGTCCTGTCTCCACCTATTGGGGCCTGTTTTTTTGTGTTGGAGAAAACATGCTTCATTATCAGCTTGCTTACTTAGGGGTGCAACATAGCTTTTTGTTTCTTGGCTCTGTTGTTGAGTGTTCAGTATGTTCCTGTTTATAGCTAGGTCTTCATGCTAAGTAAATGCTACACTAATGATCTGTGTGCTGTTGGGAGATACTTGCTTCTGTAAACAGCTGTAGGAAACTGGATTAGTAGAACTAATGCTTTTCAGTACATCTAGAGCTGCTGTGTGTGTGTATATGAAGAATAAAGCACCCTCAATGACTGATTGCAGACCTACATTTAGAGCACTCAAGAAACAAGCTCCACTGTAATGTTGTTAAATGGATTAAGACCATGTTTAGTTCATGCTTGTGCTTCAGTGATGCTCATGCATCAAGGCAGGGAGACAGGGTAGACTAAAAAATAAGCATCAGCTTCAGGATGAGGGAGCACTGTCATGCCAAATAGGTAAAATAGAAAATAATAATAATTTAAAGAGACGCTTAAAAGCTTAATCTATCCCTTTAGATTTTGAATAATGGATCTCTTTGCATTAAATTTCTTCTTTGCTTTCCTTTTCCAGAGAAGTCATGGAAAAAGATGCTAAAGACTATGCAGATTCCATCCATGCAATATTTGTAGAGACGAGTGCAAAAAATGCAATAAACATTAATGAACTCTTTATAGAAATTAGTAAGTATTTAAACAATTAATGTGCTTCTGAAAGAAGTTCACGTAGAAATTCGATTACTGTATTACTTTTTGTGTTACTGAGGTGAGAGGATACTGACTTAAATTTGTTACAATCCAACATGAATACAAACTGTGAAATGAGCTGTACACATTTTTGTTCATCTCATGACCTATAAATGTTCCTTCTAGAGATTTTAAGCCTATTGTGATGCTGCTGGATAAATAGCAAGCAGGGCACTCATGTCAGAAGTCAGTGTCATCTTACTACATCTGTTATTGGGAACTTCAATTAGTATTTCCAAGGTTATGGAAGGGAAAGGAAATGGCATGAGGAAGATCTGAACTTTATACAGCTGGTAAAAGGAGTTTTTCTCACTCAAAAGTGAGAAAAACAGTTCTCACTCTTAGTCTTTGTACTTAATCTAAAACAGTGCACTCTAAAAATATAAAAATTCATAAATGACAAATAACTGGGAAATAGCAACTATTGTGTGTAAATTTTCCACAGGTATTTTTGTGATGCCTCAGGTTTTTTAAATTACATTGCAAATCTTTTCTGTCTTGTTCATGGTGGGTATGAGAATAACACTTGCTGTGAGAATGGAAAGAGACAGTACTCCAAAGTGAATTCCATGCAGTATTACTTGCAGGATATGTTTCAGGCAGCAGCACTTGTGTGCAGGTACATCAGCCTGTTTGTGAAGAAAGGACAAACAGCAATCTATTTGTCTGTGTGCACTGCAGTTTAGCTTTGAATAACTACAGAAACATTTGACTTAAGGAAAAAAAAAATAGGAAACTTATAATTAGTGGAATATATTGAAGCTGAGGTAAGAAGTATGTGCTGTAGATTGACCTCCTGATTTACTGATGTAATAGTTGCTCTCTAAAACTGATCTTGAATAAATTATGGGGAGGTTAAAAAAAAGAGTAGTAAATTTTAACGCCTGATTAGATGACTAAAGCCACTATCTTTATGAGCACTTCTGTGCTAAGCCTGATGCAGGTGATCTTCTGTGGAAATACAGGTCAAGATGGCAGTTCTCAGTGAAGATACTCCAGATGGTACTGCCTCCTGCAGAGTGTATTCTCTGGGTAGCTTTATAGCTTAGCTCTCCAAGTCTAGATGAGCCTGAAGTGTAAATACTGCAAAATTAGCTCAAAAATGCCTCTGCTGCTCTTTTGTGGAAGCATATCCCTTACAGACACAGCATAGACTGCTAACTGCCACCCTTCTGTTATGCAGGAACGTCGTCACTAATGCCGTGTGACTAACTGAAGATGCATTTGTGTATACAAAACATACACTGAATGCTTAGAATTAATTTCAAGTATAATGTTTGATATAAATTTTTTTCTGTCTCTTGTAGGTCGCAGAATTCCATCAACTGACACCAACCCTCCATCTAGTGGTAAGGGCTTCAAACTCAGAAGACAGCCATCAGTGACAAAGCGCAGCTGCTGTTGACTGATCCCTTAGAAAACCAGACTTGTTCATACAGTAGGTGGTCTTGGAAGTTAATAGTTCACGTTGGGTTTATATTATCAGTCGTAGATCTTTATCTGCTGGTGTTCACACACCCGAGGTCCCACAAAAATGGACTGGTTCATCTGACACGTGTGCACTTGCAGAAAAGACTGCAATCGTAACGTCAGCCTGTTTACTTACAAAAGGTGTAGTATCTCTTGCTTTCAAAGGGAATCCATCATCACTTTTTTGACCTTGCTTGAGAGGAAGGTGACTATATGGGTGGTAGAAATGAAATGTCTAATAGTTTTGTAATCAAGATTTTAGTTTGGGTTTTTTTTTTTTGTAAAAAGGGAAATGAGCACTTTTGTGGGACTTGGGGGTGGGAGGCTTCTGGAGGTTAGATGTATTTCTTCCTTTTCTTCAGTGAGCCTTATTTTAAATTTAATTGTAGCTAATCCAAAGTACAATGGGAGCGTTGATGTGAGGTGGCTACATAATAAGCAACTGAAGACAAATAACAGGCAAATCAGTCCATCCTGTCCCCAAATCCCATTTGCACTTTTTATTTAAAGATGATATGCGCCAGGGTGTGGGGACACAAGAAACAGATCTGAAACCACAGACAAACTTTTATTCATGCTGACTTAAATCACTTTAAAGCAAACTGATATGCTTATAGGCATCTTTTTGTTCCTACAAGTTTTTTACTATTAAGATGTTGATTGGAGAAAACCATACTGACTCCAAGTGGTTACTGACTAAAAAGATGCTGTAAACAGATGCTGTCAGTGGTTCTGATAAGACCTCAAAGTTTTGGGGGAAGCTTTTAATTGCTTGGCATGTGTAAAGTGTTCATATTATATTTATGAGACCAGTGTTTAAAGTATTATAAATTATGTAAAAACAATAAAAAAAAAATTGTAATCTTACACACTCCTTCCATTCCACACCTATGGATAAACTCTGGGGGAATTCCCATCAGGTTTTTTTTTTCCTGCATTTTAGCTATTGTCACTGAGTTCATCCAGAGGCAGAGACTGAAATCCTTTCTCTTTCAATCACATTTGAAAGGGCCAATAGAAAATTGCTGTTGGTACAGCATGAGGTCTCTCTGTTGAACAAGTTTTCATCTGTGGTGCACCTAGTCTTTCCTGTTTTGGGCACAAAAATACAAATAGGAAGTAACCTTAAGACATGCGGTAATGTAGATCGTTACCTCTTGGTTCCTGCACTTCTTTATCTGCCAGGGATTTTAGCAAAGCAGTGTTTAGCTTACTCTGTATTTGGTTTAGTATGCTTTCAATTAAACTATAGGTTGACCATACCCATTTGTGCTATTTTATTTATTTTTACTTTTTGTTTCCTACTAGCACTAGTGAGAAATTTTATACTTTTGAAGAAAAAAAAGAGCTTAATAGATTTGAGTATATACTAAAATACACTGTTTAACTTTAGTATAAAAAAAGAGGTTGATGATGCTTATTCTTTGTAATGTGGTTTTCTATCATCTGAAGTATTTTCTCTGAAGGCAACATAGTAAAGTTTGTAAGAAATGGAAGGATTTATACTTCAGACTAGTTTGTAGTAGTGAAAATTATTGTAGGCTATTCTGGAGAAAAAAAAAGTCAACCCTTACAGTGAGACTTTGAATGGGTCAGTAAGTTCTGACGAAACTTGGCAACTACATTTTTGTCACGCCTCTTACTTTACCCTGCATTGTCAATTATGCCTTTGCTGCCAGTTGTACAGGCTACATCCTTAGAGAGAGGCCAAGAAGTGTATCTTCATCAAATGAAGGCTTTTTGAAGCCCCTTTTAAACATTGGTCCGGAACAAAGCATCCTTTGGTAGAGCTGGATTTGTTTCCTGTTTGGCCTAATGTATGTCACTCAAAGCAAGTCACCTATGAACAGAAAACTGCAGTGTTCCTACAAAACGCTTGATGAAAATATATTTAGTAAAGAAAGAACAGAGTAAGCTTGCTCTTGGGCATATTTTTAATTGTAAAAAGCAGGTTAGCAATTAAATGTAGAACTTTCAGTGTCAGCCATGGAAATCCCTAGTTTCTCTGAAATATCTAAATTCTTACCCCCAGCATTTTTTAAATAAATTGTCGTCTATTTGAGCTAGGTTTATAAAACATTCTGTGTTTACAATGCTTCAGAAATCTATTCTGTACCAAGATACAAGATGTTTTAGTATCTCAGCTGTGGTACAGAAAATAGTACTTTTGTTAGTTGGCTCATAATAAATCTGGAAACTCTTGAACTTGGAAAAATCTTAGTAGAAGGGAAGTCTCAGATACTGGGAATGGCTTTCATGTGGATTAGTAGAAAAAGGAATTTCAGACTTCCTAAACTTTTGTTATTACCTGTTAACATCTGATAAAAATGGAGTTCTTCTGCTTTCACCTTGCATCAGGCTTGCTGAAATTGATTACATTTTGTCCTAACATAGCTTCTTTATTTGGAGATAAATTAGCCTTCAAGTGTTTGGAATACTGATTATCAACTGTTTCTAATAGCTTTTTTTTTTTTAAGAAGTTGTTCAAAAAGCTCAGGACTGAAGTTTTATTCCACTATGACTTTCTGTTATATGAGTGGAGCTCATCATAGAGCCTAGACTTACAGATAGATACTCTCAAAGGGAATTAATTGCTGCAAAACAAGTTTGGAAGGGTAAAGTACCATGTGTGTAAAAATGTAACAACATTCCTGTCATAATTGATACAGAGTGTTTAAAGAATATAAAAATTTATAAGAAACTATAACTATTTCAACTTCTACAACAACACCAACTATTTCCCATAAAAATTCATTTTCTACAAAAAACATAGTTTGCTAAATGTTGGTTCTTAACCTTTTGAACAACTTAAATGTGCTACCCACCTTTTGAAGGGTGTTTTCATCCAACCCTCTAAATTACAACAGTCTCTTAGCTGACCTGCCATGCTCTTGATCTATATGTTTGGTAGTTTTGTAGTATGTTTTCTATACATGCTGAAAACTGTCATACTAAATGTCTAAGCAGGTAAAATCTGGAAGCTTATGCTTAATAACAGAAGCATGTAGTGGTCAAACTACTGAAAATTGTTATAGGTGCTCTGAAGAGTTCTGAGACAATTATAACAACTTCTGGTGTTGCCACGAAGGGAAAGACTTTGTTGATGTTACTAGATAGATGTTGAAACAAAACAAATCATTACACTTAAAATTCCTACTGACATCACTGAGACCCTTCCACTGCTCCAGGATCAGACAGTTCATAGGTTAGAGGGACATTTTATGCAGGCTTGAGTCTTTGATGTGTTGGTGTACATAACACCAATTGAATGCTACCAGGCTGCTTAAGAAATATTTACTTTCTTTGGGAGAGAGTGAGAGGAGACAGTACTTAGTGATTTGGAATTCTAATCCTATAACACGGTTGAGAGATGTGGGATACATGGGGACCTGTCTATGTCCATGGTTAAAGCTTAATTTTAATTACCAAAAAATAGTTCAGGTTGAATATCTTGAATGGTTTTAAAATTGGCCTCGACACCATTTTTGTTACAACGGTAATCCTAAATTACTCCTTCACATTAGTGTAAATTTCCAGAATAACCTCCTGAGTCCTAGTTGGAAGCAGCGATGATTGGATGACGTTCTTTGGAAGCGGTCTTTGGTGTTTATTACGGATGGCATAGTCTATTTGTGGTGTGCTATGTCAGCAATCTGCAAAGACTATCTTAGGAATTGATGATTTACAGGACAGAAGCTGTCTCAACTGTGTAGCTAGTCACCCTGTAGCAAGCCTCACAAGCAGCAGCTACACAGAAGTAGAGAATATCATCTCAAACGTGAGGAGAACCTGAATACTTTGCTGACTTAAACTTTTACATTGCCTATTCATTTGTTAAAAAGCTTCGTGCATCTCTTACACACTTAAAACCTCTAAAAAGAGACTCTTCTGGTCATGGACAAGAGAGAGGGACAAACTTTCTTACATGTTCTTAGCAGGAAGTAGCTTTACAGTGATCTGTTACTGCTTGTATGTCACAAGTCGGTTTCTTGCACCAGGAGAATTGTTTGCCTATAATTAAGATTCTAAAATTTGGCACAAAATTTTCTAAAGAAAACAATTAATTTTATGTTTGGATCATGTTCCTAGTAATAGTCACAAACCTAGTGATGGTAGCTGACAGAAAACTTACAGAAATAAGGTGGTGCGAATTACCAATCCAAGGTAGAAATACAAGTTCTAGTATAAAAAAGTCATGTCAGGTGTCCTTTCAGAATCATATGGCTCCAGCCTGTCAAAGGAAGTACATGTGAAAACACATCTTTGTTTCTTGTACAAGAATTCGGGTGCCAAAATGTATTTCCTTAGAATTCCTAGGCCTTCTGACACCAGTGATTGTTCCTAAAAAAAATTCCTTCTCTTATTTTGGAGGTCTCAAAAGTTTTAATGCAAACCTTTCCTTTGTCAGATAGAATCAAAAATGGATGAACTGGAAAAATCAAACAAGCATTACCAAATTTTATACACAAAGTGTCACAGATAACAAGTCTTTCAATGGATGTAAGACTGTTCTGAAACCCAAGAGTACTGATGGGCTGTCGCTGACATGTCAAAATTATCCTAGGGTTAGATTTTTTCTTCCTTGCCTGTCTTGTTGCCTTCTGCCCCACCCAACTGTGAATTTTTAACATAGTGTTGTCAGAGTGTACTTGCTATAAACAGCTATTTAAAAATACTTGGAGAATTTCTAGTGACTTGGGGTTATTTTGCGCTTGCTATTTTACATGGAAAATAAAGACAGTAGGATGAGTTGTCCCCCTGAAAGTTGGGACAGCATTTGCTGAAACTGCTCTCATTCTAGAATAAAGACTTCTTACAATAAACAATTTTGCTTTTCCCTTTAAATCATCCTGGAAGTCTGGGTTCTTAAATTTTTACTTAAACACTAACAACGAATTTTATTCAAGGCGCTAATTACCTCTGTGAAGGTACTCTTCTTTTAAGAGGTTGAGGTTTTTCTTTGCTTCATTTCTGTTAATGTTTTCACATGTATTATTGAAGAAACTAACCGCTACTTTTGCAAAAGTTGAAGGACTCGAACCACTCTTTGTCATGCTTTTTACTGGTGTGAATGTGATACTCCATCCAGTCGTTGCACTTGAATATGATAGATTCACTGCTGCCTCACTTTGACTCATGTTACAGTGTGTTTCCTATTAAATCTATGATGTTTTCTTTGCAATTTGCTCTTTGTTTCCTTATGGGATTTGGTCAAGAAGAGGTGGTGAGTGGCTTTTTCTCCTGCAAGGTTCTAGAAGTATCTGTCATAGTGGCAAATGTGTCCAACCAGAATGGTAATGAAGTAGTGTGGCCTTAAGAAACTGTCTGGAAAACACAAGAGCTGAGATGTACCAATACTGGTTCTTGCCATGTAACAAAGGCTAAAAACACATTGACCATGGGGAGCAAGGTCTAGTAACACAACCTAAACTCTTCTGTGTTTTAACTTCCTTTTTTGTATCTCCTGTTTCTGAATATTGTGTATCCACCATTGAAATTGTGACACAGTGAC